AATATGAAGACACAGCAAGAAGATAGTTGTCGCCCAGTGCTACTGGCTCATGCCTTAATCTTAGCTACTCAGGAAGCAGAGATCATGAGGATCATGGTTCAAAACCAGCTCTGAGCAAATAGTTTGTAAGACTCCATCTTAAAAAACCCATCACACACACACACACACACACACACACTCACACACACAAACACACACACAGAGCAGGCTGGCAGAGTGGCTCAAGTAGTAAGAGTACCAGCCTAGCAAGCATGAGGCCCTGAGTTCAACTGCAGTACTGCCCCCAAAAAACCAGCTGTCCATCAGACAAAGAGAGACCTTGCTAACACCTTGATCTTGAACCTCTAGGCTTCCAAACTATGAAAAAACAAGTTTCTGTTATTTAACTCACCCTGTCTATGGTATTATGTTATGGCAGCCTTAGCAAAAGAATATAGCAGGCAATGCAATAACTGGTTTTTATGAATTATCTCATTTAATCATCACAACTACTAAATGAGGCAAGTACTGTTTAGACAAGGACTCCAATATAAATTTTGTCTACAGAAACTCTGTTCAGAGTGCACTCAGGCCTGACCCCAAAGAAGGTAAGTAGAATACTCTAGCTTATGAGTGAGAGAGGTGAGGAGAGGAATTTAATGGAGCCAAGCATTTTCCTGATACACCCGCATCTTTATCCACTTGTCCACGACATTAGAGGAGCACAAGATGGTGTCCTGGGAGTGAGTTTGGATAAGGCTTGCAGTTTCACTGCCAGCCCCTTTGTGTGTCATGGAAGGCCTGAGCACTTTTGAGGAATCATTGTGGTGGGCCCCAGGAAGAGGACCCCTCCTCCTCACAGACAGCCAAAGAGCAACAAGACAAAGTTCCCAGTGAAGTCTCATACTTTAATACAAATAATGACATGATTGCCTGTGTTTATGTGCTTTATGCCTTATGTAGCACTTTTACGCATGCTTGTACTCTTTCCAAAATAGTATGGGTTGTGAGGATAGATTTAAATTTGAATTCTGGTTAACTTATTGACTGTGAGATCATGGGTCTTACTTAACCTCTCAAGACCTAGTTTCTCTTGTGTAAATGGTGGTGGGGATGGTACTAGGGCCAAAGGATACCCACTTATAGGTTAAGGACTGAATGAGAGAGATACTTAGTATGATGTTTGATAGCTAGCAAGGAATTGGTTTCCTTTCCTGTTTGCATTGATGGATCTCAGACTTCCATCATAGCTATATAATGTAGTTACATGTTTTTGTAAGTAACAGTCTCTCCAAATACATCTCATATTTCACAGTGATTCTTAACTCCAGCAATGGTGCATGAAGGTGGTAAGGTCTGTATTTCTATATTGTTAAAAAGCATTCCCCACCTCCTCACCAAGACTCACCAGTGAACCTGTGATACTCCAAGTATCTTTGACTAATTTGACATTTTTGTGATATCTTATCCTTCATTCTTACTGCTTTATTTTAATGAAGTAAAGATTTACCCCCATGGGAAAGAAGTACATTAAGTTAGAGACAGTTGATAAAATACTTTCTCAAGTGTAGCTAGATCCCAGGGAGTATCTTTTGCGGTGGGGATGGGGGACATTGGGGTTGAGGGATTGATGGAAAGAACAGTGGAAAGATGGGCAGTACACAGGGCTTAGAGGAGAGTTGATTGGGAAAAAAATGTGAAGGGAGGTGTTCACGTAAAGCCTTATTTAACAGGATTTGACTTTGGTTACTAGAAAATGCTATCTTTATGCTCTCACTCTGCTGCAGACGAAGCCTCACCTAGCCTGGATACAAGACCTGGACCTATACCTGGACTCACTGGAGTCATACATGGCTACCTGAACCATCTCATCAAGGTCATAATAAGTACCATATGGTCCTAGAATTCTACCTTTCAAGACCCTAGTAGTTCTCTCTGTAATAATACATTCATGGTTACAAATAAAGTTTGGTAATTACAAATATGGAAGACCAGAGAGAAAAGGAAATGCTCTCAGTCTGCCATGAACAGCTCATAGGGTAGGTTAGCTGAGCATCACTTTTTGCTTGTTCTAAGGAAAGTGTATGAGAATGAAGCATCCATAAAATTCTTGTTTGAAATAATGTTTAGAATTTTGAGTAAATAACCCTATAATTGAAAATGCTAAGGATGCCTTTTAGGCCAGACAATTAGATTTGAACTGGAGAGAAAAGAGAAAGCTGAAGATCAAAATCATGCCTTTAAAAGAACCAGGCAATAACGTCTCTGGAACATCCATGACTTCTAGTAGATGGGGGCTCCTGGAGTGATAACTACAGACCTCCCTTTCCAGGCTGTGACTTAACTGCTCTGGCCAGCAGACACCATCAGCAAACAAGCCTTCACAGAGAATATTTACTTGACCCTCTTTCATAGAGCAAACTTCCAAAGGCTGTCTGGGTCCCCATCCTCATTTTGTCATTTTCAAGGGAACCTAAGTGCACAACAATGAAAATGAAAATGTAATTTTGTGCTAAATTGCACAGATGGGAGTAAGTGTGTTGGATCACTTCAAATATCATGCAGAAAGAGAAAAAGGTTTGGCTGGATCTTGAGGGTAGTTGAATCTCAAGGAAATAGCTATGCTTTCTGACTATTTCTTTTTACTGAGGACTTCCATATTGAAATTTCTGGGAATGATTCAGCCAAAGCAGTTTAGACACATGGCAAGACAGTCTGAACTAGAGCATCCAGTTGCATGTGGAGACTTCACCAGCTGGAGGGAGAACAGGAATTAGTACATCATCAGTAGACCAAAAGCAGAAGACTTATTATGTAATAATGACCCCTACACACTCTTTTCCAAATTGATACATACATTGAGGTCATTATATACTTAAAACAAGTCTTCTTACAATCTGGTACCTCATTGTGTTAGTCACTTACCAGTGTGGCTCTTGGAAAGTTATGTAACATGACAGTAACCAGTGACCCACACTTGGCCCTGGGCCTCTGGTCTCTATTTGAAAAATGAAAGGACTAGAAAGATGATTTTGAGGTTCCTCCAACTCTAAAACTTGAGGATATCATAATTCCACTGTAGTAAGAGTCTTTTTTTAAAATTAACATTCTCCCACATTTGTCTGCCTCAAGCTTAGTGCCACCACTATCTTCTCAGATGGAAACACACTAAGCTTGTTGGTATAAGCTCAGAGGAACTTCCTTAAGAAACTAGACCCAGACACTGAGTCCATACTCAAAGCCTTCCATTATTCCCTCCCATTCATTCAATGAACATCTATGGAAGGCCTCTTATATTCTAGGTAACTAATCTTTAGAACATGCTCCATGGTTTTTTAATCCCTCTTCTCTTTCACTCACTTACTTTGATAGATCAGGCAGACCACAATGTAGGAAATGTATATTTAATCACTCTCTTGAGTGTTCAGAACTCTAAAACCAAGTCTTCTATAACAAAACATAAAAATGGTGACCAAAGTGCCAGGAAGTAATGGTCAGCACAGGAGAAGTGTGGGGTGAGGACTGTAAACAAAACAACATTCTTTTTCACCAAAGCTTCATTCCTCAGGGCCTCATTTCAAGGAGTCCTTGCCCTGCTTTCTTTCAGAAGTCTCTGCGAGGCTGGGGGTGTAGCTCTGGGGTAGAGCACTTGCGTAAGGCCCTGTGTTTGAGCTCCACCACCCTAAAGAAAAAAGCAAAGCTTAGAAGTCTCTGTGTTTCAAGGAGGGTACACATTTGTTACCTTAATTTGTATTTTGGCCAGACAGGGTCCTGAGATCTAAAATACAGAGTGACAGAATTTGAGATAGAGCTTAGGTTGGCTTTTTTTACATAACTTAGTTTGTAGGATAGAATGAAGGGAAAGAAACACAGAAGCACAAGTAGTTGAAAATAATCTCACCATGATTTCCCACATGGTTTGCTAACTCTGTTCATTGGAAGATGTTATTCTGGTTGTGCAATGCAAGATCTGGTTCTCTGTACTGAAGCAGTAGCCAGAGTCAGAGCCAATGCTCACGTTTAGGAAGCTGACTTGTTTGCTCTCCTCTTTTCTAGATCCTTTTCTACTGTAAATCAGGATTTGTTAACCTTGGCACAACTGACATTGGAGCTGGATAATTCTTTCTTGTGGGAGATGCTCTGCACATGGTAGGATGTTGGGCAGCGTCCCTGAACTCTGTCTAGTAGATACCAGGAGCCCTGTCCTCCTACTTCCTTTAGTTATAATGACCAAAATTGTCTCCAGACATTGCCAGACATCACCTGGAAGATTAGAGGGGGGCAAAAATCACCCCAGTTGAGTCCCAATGCTGTAGATGTTGAAAGCTGAGGTCATAGCTGTCCATGCAGGACAGGAAGTAGACACCTCAAGCCTTATTATGACATAATGCCACATGGGGAGAGATCCTTCCTGGGCCATTCACAAATCAACATCATCTGAAAAGCACAGTGGCATTTTTCCAAAAAAGAAAGTACTCAGATTATTTAGAAAATCAGTGTCACTCAGCTACTTTGTTTGCCCTAAAATTATGATAATTTTTTTCACATCTTTGGCATTTGTCAGGGGGAAGAGAAGCCAAGGCACATTGAAAGCATCCTAATGAAAAGTGAAGCATTTGACTCTTCACTGGAATGCAGCCACCTCGGAGTTGTGAAGTGGCATCTGATTAGCAGCTTCTTACAGTATACACTACAGTTTAATTTGCAGAATATAAGACAGGAATATATGATGACGGAAACTATCAAGGAACTTCCTCAGAGCAACGTTACAGTACACATAACTAAGGATTCGGAGGTAATAATGTCCCAACCTCTCTCTCTCCAGCAGTTCATGGGGAAGGGGAGGTCCCTGAGGTATGGGAATATACTTTTCTCCACATGCATTTTACTTAGTACCCTTAACATACTTTTCTAGTTCAGATGAGTTACTTTCCCAGCTTCTAATATCTTTGGAGATAGGTCCATTTTGCTCATGTTGGAATCTTCGGTGGGTTCCTTTTTTTGTTTGTTTGTTTCTTGTCCTTGTTTGTTGACTCCAGACTTCTAGACATGAATTCATTTCCCACCAGAACTGTAAAACTAGGTCATATCTTGTGGCAAAATAATTTTGTAGATTCCTGGGATTCTGAAAATAACAGTAGTAAGATACCATTACACGTGCTCAGCAGACATTTGTTGAGAACTGAGTCTTTCTGCTACTGGGTGAGTATACGTCCTGTTTAGAAATGTATTTTGCTGTTGTCCTATCATGGCCACATGGTCACATGCGGTGCTGAGAGAAGGGAGATGGCTTGAATCTTAAGTTCACCTCTCATCTTGAGGGATCATTCCATGACAGTTTCAGGGAAGAGACAAGTCCTCAGAGAAAATAGGAACTAAAGTATGGCAGACTACTGGGTGGAGGTGGAAAAATTACTTCTGCCTCAGCTCCCAGCCAGGGGCGTGCATGTGACTTAAAATGTCATGACCAGTTATATTGTGTTTCTCAAATACAGATCTTTTATTTTTTTACTTAAAAAAATCTGTTATTCCTTATTTTCTTGGGAAAAGAGGTACAGCTAGGTGAGTAATAGTGCATAACCTATGTCTACTGTGTGTGAATGTCGTTCTTTACTTGTATGCCTGGACTTTTAAAAAAGGCTGAACAGTATTGCCCAAAGGTAACGTGAGGTAAAGTGAATAACCTATGTTTTACAAGTCTTATTATTTAGTCACAAGTCATTAAAAACTCCTTTACAGCATTGAAGGGAATGAAGGAAAGAAGAAAACTTTCCTTCTTCTACTAGGGAGGTCGCTAAGGAACTGTTAGGTTGAGGAAATCTCCCTCTACAACTATGGATGATTGGAAGTGATGGAAACTGGTGGACTTCCTTACAAAGAATCTGCTTTGTGCATGGCACTATATTAAGAACTTGGAAAAGAAGAGGAAGGAAGTAAGGAGCAGATCAACAGATCTTTTCCTGCCTCAAGGTCTTAACACTCTAAGCTGAGTCCCTAAGGACTACATGTATACAAAGAAAAGTACACAGACAGGCCACAGGAATGTAGAATACAAGGACCCCTGGGAAAGAGGGCTTAAGCTAGGAAGCCTTTCCTGAAATGGATAAAAGAAAGTCCTAGATACGAATTGCCATAAAGAAGAGCAGATTTCCAGGAAGGGGCACTGAGTGAGAGAGTAAGGCCAGAGAGTGGAGGGAGATGGTTAAGAAAAGGAAGCAGTTTGGGGAAGGAAGTGTTCCTTCCCCAAGGACTTTAATCTTGATACAGTAGTGCCCAGAGAGTCATTCTGGGTTCCAGAGTAAAGAAATGCTGTGATGAAAACAGTGTTGGAATACTTTCATTCTGGTATCTTGTTTCCTATTACCTGAAATAGGGAGAGGAAGGAGTTTAAGTACACGGGCTTTTTGGGGGTGGAGATTACTGTTTGTTTTGTTTTTGGGTGGTAATGGGATTTGAACTCATGACATCCTACTTGCTAAGAAAATGTTCTACTACTTAAGCCATGCCCCCAGCCCTTTTTACTTTTTTTTTTTTAGATAGGGTCTCACATTTGCCTGGGGCTGTCCCCAGACAACGATCCTCCTATCTCTGCCTCCCAAGTAGCTAAGATTATAGGTGTGTACCACCAGCCTGTGCAAGGTTTGAACTAGTCTAGCTGTGAGATGACAAAAACTGAATTAGGATCAATCTGAGAGGCAACATGGGAAATGGTATGGAGCGGGGGACAAATTGGCATGACAGAGAGGGAAGATAAAAATAACTAGAATGTGGGCCTCAGACTTGGTGGGGATGCCACTAAATAATGTGGGTGGGCTGACTAGAACTCCATGAGCTTGGTTTTAGATAAATTTTATATGTAGTAGAATATTTAGAAGAAAATATTCTAACAAAAATTGGAGTCAGAGAACTGAAGTGAGAATGAGAATTCTCAGCAGGAGGGCTAAGCTGGTGAGTCATCTGCCTACCCCCTGACAACAGGGCCCAAGTTGGAGGAGTGGAAGTAGGGCAGTCATTTATGTAAGTGATTATGCTTTGTAAATAACAGTGAAATTCTGGGTAATTAGTCAAGGCTAAACATCTCTTTCTCCTTAATAAGATATTTTTGCCTTCATTAGTGACTCAGTAAATGGAAAGGTATTTGAATTTACACAATTATTTGAACTGTACAGAGTTAGTTTTCCTATTAGTTTGTCAATGAGGTCTCTGCTCTTCATTAATACTAACAAATGATCACCTTTCACAAAACAAATGGAAATAGTCCCTGCCCAGCTTCTCCCTGTTTCTGTCTGTAGCTGATGCTGAAGGGTGCTTGACTCTTGTTAGTAACACAAGCACACACACACCTGATCTACTATACCTTTTGTGACTTATATTACCTGTTGTACCAATAACTTTGCACATGTTTGTGTGGCCAAGGCACATTATTTTAGCATCAGGTAAGTGGAGATAGGCAGGAGTGTCCAGCAGACGGCAAAGAAAAAAGAAACACCCATGGAAGCCTTTGAGTTCAGCAGCTGTAGTTGACTCCGCCTTTTGATCTCAGAGTCTGTAAAGGGAGAGAAATAAGGTCCAGAGTCACATAGGAGAAGGTGGAGATCCTTTTCACATGACTGGCCAGCAATGAAAAAGTACCTGAAAAACAGAGCAAGTTGTTCCTACCACAGGCAGTTGTGAACCCTTTCCCTACCTGACTTAAAAACAGAGTTTTCCCTTTCTTCAGAGGAAGTTCCGGTTTGTGATGCACTCCAGTGAGCACTCAACAAAATAGAAAACTATACCAGTAAAGAAATTCTTATTGGTTACCACATAAAGAATAGGCTACCCAAACAGTCATGGCTGTTTTGGACACATTTTTCCTCTAGGCAGTGTGCTTTAAGGTTCTGTGTCATTAGCTGTAATAGTACCTCTATAAAGTGATAAGGAATTATTGTTTTCATTTTGAAGTAGAGAAAGGTAGAAGTGAAGAAATGAAATTACTTTTCTTTTGCACTGTTTTCTTCCAGGATGATCCAATTCATTTAGTTCATTTCAGCTCTGTCACTTATTAGCTGTGTGACTTTAGGCAAGTTGTACTCATTGTACAATTGCTCCAAGTTCTTCTTCTCTAAAATAAGGCTGAAGTAAGAACCTACTTCAGAGAGTTATTATGGGGATTAGTGAGTGGATACACATAAGATACTTAGGACATTGCCTGGCATACAGTAAGCACTCAATGAGTGTTATCTATAAACACAACAGTAACAGTAACCCACTCAGATCTGGAAAGCATTAACTCCCATGCTTCTCACTTACAAATCTACTTCCTTGGCTTAACTCTGTCCTGAGTTACACATTCAGATTTACGGTAGCTACTTTACTAAATATGACAGTTAAAAGCATGATTGCTTAGCAAATATTTTTGAGTACCTCCAGTTGGGATTCAAAGGAATCCAATAAATAACACCCTCCTCCCAGCTTAGCTCTGAGCCAATTAAAGAGCAGGACAAAAACAGGCAGGTAATTAGAAAACCAAAACATCACCTTTATTGCTGAAAAGTCTGATAATAAAAGATGACACTTTGTAGGCAGATAAGTGGGCTGTCTACAGTGACAGAGAGAACCCAACTGGAGTGGGCTTCCTTCTGCTGGGGAAGATTCTACCTCTGAAAAACTGATGGTTGGGAAATAGCAGAATATCTACTAAAGAAAGTTGGCTAAAGAAAAAAGGAGGAAAGAAGGGGCTGAGCTACACATGTTCAGCTTCTCCTAATATACTCACCAATGATAAATTAGTTCATCTTCCTCTGGAAAGGAATGAAAGCGGGAGGAAGAGAGAGGCTAAAAGGTTACATATATGGAAGACCCCTTCTCCTTACGTGGAATAGGGACGTAGTTTCTCCCCCAAACCTGTCATGTTTCAGGGTAATGTGCTAAACATTGGGCCTGGGATTTTCCTGACAAACTTCTTCCCGTACCGTTGGAATTCAGTTTAGTTTCAGGAGGGATGGGTTTAAAAGTCATAATTTAGTCTGTGTATTTTATTGACAGTAGGTCAACCCCTAGGTTTTGTATGCATTGCAAGGAGATAAAGGTGTTGGGCCAATTCTCAGCTAGTGTGCTTGGAAGCAAGTTCAATCAAGAGCTTTCAGATCTTCCTGAGCCAGTATTAGTGAGATCATTAGTTGGTCCCATGAGGGCTGAATAAGACGAGGCCAGAGTTTCTATCTTCAGTGTTTAGATTTAAAACCTCTTTCACGGGCAGGTTAGAACCCAACCAGTTTGGGGAACTTAGGACGTAGTATATAGCCAAATATATTAAAGATGTCAACACTTCCTCACTACTAAAGCAAAGTAGGTCCTGTTGAGTTAGAGCCTCAGAATCCTAAACACTGCCCTCCAGGAAACCAGTGAGAAGGCGTACGAGATGAAGCTAGTCACCACTTTTAATGTATATGCTATAAATATTGTACCGTGTTGGCTTTTCTATTACATAACGCAATCCCAACTGGAATTGTGATCAAGGTCTCTAAAGGATGCTAGATATTTTCCAGCCCTGGTATATAATATATGTCAAATAAATTAGATTTTAATTTAGATACTATTTTCTGCCCATTGAGCCCATACAAGAACCATGGCGAGGGATGGGGGTATAGCTCAATGGTAGAGTGCTTGCCTAGCTTACATAAGACCCTGGGTTCCATCCTTAGTACCATGGGAAATTAAAGCATTAAGAAACCTACCTGTCACTTTGATATCCCCCGTGGCTTTGGCAATGTTGTTTTCAATCATACAAGAGTATGTGTTGTTGATGGTGACATTGTAGAGCACGGACACAACCTTCATAGTCACATTCTCAGAGTTCAGCTCAAAGCTGGTGTTGGAGACTTCTGAGAAGTTGGCTCCATGGTCAACTTGGGATGCCCATGCCACTGTGGGCTGGGGGAACCATCGGGGAGCCTCACAACGCAAGCTCTCTGAACTGTCATTATAGTCCACATTGATCTCTGGCATGCTGAAGGCTACAGGTGAAAGGGCAAAAGTCAAGGTCAAGCAGGTAAGATAATATGGCCTTGAAATGGTAGGTTTTAAAAACACAATGATCCTTATCTCAATTAGCAAAAACCCTTGGTCCTTCCTATTATTGCTTATTTCTCTCTTTAACAAAATTAGAGATAAGGGCAAAATAGTTTCTGCCGGGTAGCGAGGGGGTGGGGGGGTAAGGGAAGGGGTGGGGGGAGGGGGGAGAAATGACCCAAACGTTGTATGCACATATGAATAAAAAAAAAAACACACACAACGATCGCTTCCATCATCAAAATGACTCAGTAGTACCAAAGGGTACTGTTTCTGTATGGCCCATTGTAGTGTAGACACAAATCATGATTTGCTCCTTGGATTGCTATAGATATCACAGCCCCTTGGCCAATATCACTACCTCCAAAGACCTTAGTTTCAGATGTGCTATTGCTGAAGTATATAACTTTCTTTAAGTAAAAGGAGCTCCAGTGACTATAAAAGGTCCTGGTCCTTAGGAAATTGGGCATTTTCCTGGGAACCTGGGAAGCCTTCTGGATTTTATGGATTTTTCAGCCTGAAGGATAAAGTTAAGGTGAAGCGGGAGAGGGAGAAAAAAAAAGATCATTTGCCTGTCACCCACAGAAATTCCATACACAGGCCTTGTTAGCATGGGAATTTGGAGTTTGCTTGGGTGGAGACTTACAGCCCTTGTACCCAGGAAGAGAAATAGATATTTATTTTTCTTCTAAGAGAATTCTCCTCACTAAGGTAACTACATTTTGAAATTAAGACTGTCTTTTCTCTATATCTAGGCAGAGAGATACTTGTAGAAAAGTGTTAAGGTCTGGACTTCTTATTAAAGCCAAAATGGCAACAAATAATTTATTAATTTTTAGCATCTTCTTTTGCTTAGGATTGGACTAGTACTGGGAGAGTGCAAAAGGAATGAGAGGGATGAGCCTGTTATCCTACAGGCAACTCAAGACACATGCTTGGAGGAGGTAGGGAACAACTCCTGGGACATGATGTGGGAAACTGAGTGTATGTGACAATGAGCCACCATTCATGGAGGGTGTACTTGTGCCAGAACTATATTCCAGACACTATTTCATTTGATACTCACAATAACCTGATCAATACCTATATAAATATACCCCTCTATAAAAAGTTTAATTTGGGGAATAATTTTAGATTTACATGAAAGTGGAAAAGATAGTACAGAGAGATAGTCTATAAACTCCTCATCTAGTTTTCTGGGATATTAGTATCTTAAATAACCATTATACTTTTTTCAAAACTGAGAAACCACAGAAATCCTAGCTACTCAGGAGGCTGAGATCAGGAGGACCACAGTTTGAAGCCAGACCAGGCAAATAGTTTGAGAGACCCTATTTCAGAAAAACCCATCGAAAAAGAGGGCTGGTGGAGTGACTCAAGGTGCAGGCCCTGAGTTCAAGACCCAGTACTGAACAAATAAACAAACAAACTGAGAAACCATCACTGGTATGTTACTATTAACTAAACTCCAGACTTTATTTGTATTTCACCAGTTTTCCCACAATGTCCCTTTTCTGTTTGAGTTTCCTATCTAGGATTCCAGAATGCTTTTAGTCATTATGCCTCCTTGGGTTCTTCTGGTGGTCTGTAACATTCTCTCAATCTTTCTGTGTTATAGCCTGATAGCCTTGAGTAGAACTGGTCAAGTATTTTGTAGGATGCCCCTTTATTGGAATTAATCTGATGTTTTTCTCATGATTAGACTGAGGTTATGGGTTTTGGAGACAAAGATTGTAGGAGGCAAATGTTCCTTCTCATCACACTGTCTTAGAAGGCTTGTGCTGCTATCTACATGACTGCTCACAGGGGACAGTAACCTCGATCACCTGGCGGAGGCAGAGTTTATGAGTTTCTTTTGAGGCTGGACTTCACTACTCCAACATACATGAGTAGGGTGGGAGGGGGGAGAGCTAAATAAATAAATTACTTGTAATTCATCTGTAAGGAAGATTTATTTTATTTTCATCATTTCTTTATATAAGTATGGATTCATGCATTGACTTTATAACTTGAGTTGTAATTGAATACTATCTTATTTGTGGTTTAAATTGTTTCAGCTTTGCCATTGGAAGCTCTTTTAGTTGGTCCCAGTGTCCCTTTGACAGGATTCCATTAATTCTCTTCTTAAAATGAAGAAACCAGGCTCAGAGAGGTTATTTCACCTAGGCTACCATGCTTCTCCAGGTCTGACTCCTGATCTGGACTCTCCAGGTCTAGATCTACTTTGAACATTACATGTTCATGTTATGAAGTGCTCAAGAAAGGTTTATGCAGACTGGTTCAGCTAGGCGAGGGCCTTTCCTTCAAGGCTCCTCTCACTCCTTGGGTTTTCCTGTCCTTCCCCTCATGTGCATTTGGATGTGATTTCTCTTCCTCTAAACCCCTGAATATAACACTATCTTTCTCTTAGAGCACTTGATACCTTTACCAATTTTTATCCTTGTACTGACCTCTAATGCTATAAGGTTTACACTAGGAGCTCTGCAAGAGGAGAGACAATTATCTTTTTTATGTTAAAAAAAAACTTCCTCTTTATATTCTCCACTGTATCTATCCGGGTCCATTGGACCTAAATTCAGAAAACTTACATTAGATTGGGTTAACAAGAGAGGGTAGATTTCTCTGGGGGTACTATAGAGTTTATAGGGCAGTATTGTTTTGGTAGTCCCTTTGAACTTCTCTAAAATTGGTTCCACTGTCATAAGGCTCTGGAGGTCCTCACTGCAGATGTTGCATGGGCCTAATTAGCACAGAAACATCCCAGGTCAGATTATAGGCTCTCTCTTTCTCTCTCTTCCTCTTTCTCTCTCTCTTTCTCCATTTCCTCCCTCCTATCCTACCACTGTCATTGTTTTTGACACAGGCTCTTGCTATGTAGCTCAGGCTGGACTTGAACTCACAATCTTCCTGCCTCCACCTCCCCAGTGCTGGGATTATAGGCATTCCACCACACCCAGTTTATAAGCTTCTCTTATCAGCAATGACAGGGCCTACCATAAAGAGACTACATTTATTTTGGTAAGATATCTTAGGGAATTAGGGAATATACCTGGAAATTCAGAAAAGGTGAGCATCTAGGAGAAAAGATTTTAAGTCCCAGTATTATAGTGGGCTACTTTTGGGGTTTTGGTGTGAGTCTTAGGCATAATGCCAAGATGGCTACTAACAGAATTGGGAGAGACTCTGATATTGGTCATTCACAAGCACAACATCAGCTTTCTTTCTCTCTTTCTCTAGAAGAAACTCACCTCCAGTTTTATACTCAAGATTAGCATTACCCTTGCCTTTGGAAGTGATGATGTAACACTGGTAGGTGCCAGCATCTGTGAGTTGCACATTTTTCAGCCTCAGAGAGGCATTGCCAACTATCACTTGATCTGCAAACACAGATGTCCGGCCTCTGAACATTTCGTGCTGGTGTGAGAGGTCATCTCTGCCTGCTTTGAACTCATGGACCAAGCCCATGATGCCTTCCTTCAGCCACTGTATCACAATATCATTAAATTTGATATCAGGTTCAAAAGTGCAGCTCAGGATTCCATCCTCTCCGATGTTTCCGGCTGAGGTGAAAGTAGTGACTGTAATGGAGTGTTTCCCTGCAATTCAGGAAGTAAGGATCAATGCCAAGAAAGTCTTGAAATTTCTACAACCCAGCCCTTCATTAATAAAGGCCAAACAGATTTCTGTGATAAACTAGAAATATAGAAGAACAAAAGCATTTGTTAAAAAGGAAGGCAAGGATGGAAAGAGCAGGAAGACAATAATTTTGATTTCTACAGCAGATCTGCCATGCACAGAAGCTTTTGTAAGACCAAGCAACCCAATCTTGAGTGTCTGCAAGAGGAAAACACACTGGACACAGTGTTTTAAAACTTGGATTTGTTTCTTAATAGCTGTGTGACCTTGAATGTAACCTCTCTGAATCTCAGAAAAATGAAGGTGATAATATCTGTATTATCTATCTTAAGGGGTTTTGTGGGGATCAAATCCAATGGATGTGAACTTGATTCACAAGCTGTAATTACACATGCAGTGTTATTATTATTAGTTAACTAGAAGTGACACAAAATGAAACTTCATGTTTACTCAGTGTAGCTAGGGATTCTGAGGAACACTAAATTCTAAAGTGATGAAGCAACCAAGTCATGGAGAAGATAAGTGAGTTTTAAATTATAAGTATATAAGTTGAGGTTATGATGTCAGCTATAACATAAAGAAGAATGGTTGAATTCAGTTGAATTTTGGTCCAACATAGAAACTACCTCCTCCCATCTAACCCAACCACCCTCTTCCCCAGTTGTCCAGATGACAGCCCATCCAGTCAGGGAAGGATCTTTGTGACACTTGTTCTGTGTGCACTGGAAGCCATTGACAGAGAACACCAGCTAAGGTAATTTAGTTAAGTGAATTTCCTTCAGAGACTACTTCTCCTGTGTAAATATGAGGTAAGAAGAGGATGGCATTGGAGCCCGACAGTAGCATGGAGCAGACACAAAAGGTGTGGGGGAGAGACAGACCATGGAGAAAGATGGAGAAAGTCCACCATCCCAAGAGCTGTCTTGGATCCTGAAGGTGTTCATGTCTTTATCCGTCCCCATCTCTGCATATCCCTTATACAAATACTGTAAGATGCCCTGCGCAAGCCTCCTTTCCTTGCAGCCAAAGGAGTTCACCGTGATGGTCCTGAGCACATCTCACCTGGACTTTTCAGCTTCCTTATTGGCATTCCTACCTTTCATCCTCATCTCATTCATTTTATAGGTATCAATCTTACAGGCAGGACTTCTTAAAGTACAACTTGAACTTTTTCTTTCTTCTTTCCTTCCTTCCTTTCTTTCTTTCAGTGCTGGGGTTTGAACTCAAGGCCTCAAGCTTGCTAGGCAGGCTCTACTACTTGAGCCATGACCCCAGCTTGTTTTTCCAATAGGGTCTCCTGCTTTTGTCTGGACCAGCCTCAGACCTCAGTCCTCCTACCTTTACATCTTGAGTAGCTGGCATTACAAACATGTTACCGTGTCAGCTTATTTGTTGAGATAGGGTCTCTAAACATTTTTCCCAATCTGGTCTTCAGTCCTTTTATCTTCACCTCCCGAGTAGCTGGGATTACAGGAATGAGCCACACATAGGTAAACCTGTGCTTTATTTTCTTTTCCTTTTTTTTTTTTTCTTAGCAGTGCTGGGAATTGAACCAAGGGCCTTGTGCATGACAGATGAATAACATGTCTGTTCTCTCTCTCTTTCTCTCTTTTTCTTCTCTTTTTCTCTCTCTCTTTTTTTGGCAGTACTGGGGCTTGAACTCAGGATCTCACCTTTGCTAGAGTCACTCTGCTAGCCTTTTTTTGTGTTGGATATTTTCGAGATAGGGTCTCTCAAATTATTTTCCCAGGCTGGCCTTGAACTGTGATCCTCCTGATCTCTGCCCCCTGAGGAGTTAGGATTACAGGTGTGAGCCACTGGCGCCTGGCTACATGTCTATTTTCTAATCACTAATCTTCCATGGCTAAGCGCTCTGGAATAAAGTTCAGATTTCCCAACATGGCCTTCCAAACCAAACAGCCTGGCCCACAACAAATGCCTCACAGATACTGGATTTTATTGCTACCTTAGCAGCTTTATCTCCTCCTGCATTCTTTCATAGTTCGCTCTGTCTATCTATAGAAAATGATTTGTTGACTCTGCTTTCAACTGAAAATACATGCGCAGAGAACATGTTTCTTTTTTCCAATATAAGAGGTGACCGTTCTGAACACAGGGATGTCTTTGGCACCTGTCTTCTAATCCATTAGGGCTGGGGTTGTCTAATTGACTCCTCGACCTTTATGAAATAGTGGAGGGTAATGAATGAGACATAAAACTGAAGAAGCTGAGCTAGATGGATTTGTATCAGAAAGAACAGAGAGCTGCTGATAGAAGAAAAATTATAGCTAGAAAACGAGGCAGAGGAAACAAAACCACGCGCCACACTGGGTTAGGAGGATGTTTTAGAGGCTTGAGAGAACGTTAAACAAGAAACTTTGGGAGCAGCTACAACGATAGCCAGTCATGTGGGAGATTCAGAGAGGAGACTGTGAAAGTGGACAACGTGACATTTTTGCTGTGTGATACGAATGTGGTGCACCCATGTCTCCTGCCTTGGCATTTTCTCAAACACTGCTTTAAAGATTCAGTTTGCTTTTCAGTTATTTTTACTTGACAGATGGCGATCCAAGGCACCCCAGGGTAGCCTGGGTTGTAGAGTTTCACTGTGCACCTTCTCAACCCTCCACTTCCTACAATTCTCCTTTATCACCAGTCATCCGCATTCTGCTCATGTTCAAATCCGTTTGGATGGCAGGCCTTCCAGGAAGACTTCTTTTACTCTGTCAGGACAAACTTTGTAGATCTGCTCTCTCTGAACATCTTCCTTTGCCTGTCTCCTGGCAGCTGTCTTCCTCCACCTTGCTTTCAGTCTACATCTTGTACTAATTTGTAAGCGTTTTCAAGGGAAGAGACTGTCTCAGTCATATCTACACAGCTTATAGTGCCAAGAGCTATGCTTCCACAGAGAAAAAGGTATTTTCTGAGTGCATGAAGAAGTGGAGAAACTAGAAATCAAAGCATGGTTTGAGATCATCTATCCATTCCAAGAGCAAGGGACCGGTGGCAGATACCACCTCTAAATTTTGGAGGAAATGTGAGCCGGTGAAAAAGAAGGCACTAAAAACACACTGAGATTCTCAAGTGTAACTCTGTAAGAGTCAGGGTAAATTTGATTGTCATTTATAAAGTGCCATGACAGTTGAATTAAAAAAATACCTTTTCAGAAAAATACGTAATTAGCACAGTTTATGGAGAAAATGAAATGATAATGACATATCTTAGTTTAGTAATTGTGTTACTGGGTTAATTTTAATGTGTTGGCCTTGGACCCACAAGTAGGGAAGTCACTGAAGTATCTCCTAGAGAACTTAGCAGTAGAAAGCAGGCAGTTGTGCAGTGCCCAGGGACCTGCTGCAGGTTTTAGTCATTAATGATGTAGCAGATGGGATGAGTATAATGTTGTTTAAGTTTTCCCTCCCCATATCAAATAAAGAGAAGGAATAAAAGCCAGTGAGAACTTATTTTGACCATGAGAGACTAGCCATTGCTTTGCACTCAGAAAGCAGTCAATAAGTAATTATTTGTTAAGATAATAAACAATGGTCAAAAGTGCTAAAATGAAATTTAATATGCAAGCAGCTGAATGTAAATATCCTCACAAAAAACTGTGTAATCAAACTTGACAAATGAACACCAGCTCAGGAAGCATCATGCAGCGTGGTCTAACGTGACTTTCGAGGTTTACTGACCACCAGAGGCTTCTGTGTGATCTGGTGTGCCAAAGGACGAAGAGCCCTAGGGAGATGGGTTAGAGGGCACTGACTAGGGAGAAAAAACTGTTCAACTGGCACAGTTTACGGCATTTCATTGGCCTCTAAGATCACAACCAAGCCCTTGAAAATTGTAAGACCCAGGTGAAAAATAAATTGTGCACCTCATGAGGGGTGATTATTAGTACAACTCTGGTCTCCAGGGAGAAGGTGGGGGACTTCAACGTGAGCAAGGTACAGTCTGAGCCTTTCAGTTTTCACAAGGTGAGTGTGCTATTCAACCAGAACCCTTGTAGGAACAGGAGTATTTTGGAGAGTAGGAGTAGGTAATTGTTTCAGAAATTAGGATTCTGAGGTACTCTGCAGCTCTGGATAAAACCTGGGAAATGAACAGTAGCACCTGCTGACCGTCAGCTGACCAGGTGGGCACCACAGCACCTGGTACAAAGGTAGAAATGGCATGAGCCTGCACAATGAAGGCCAGGGTGACACCTGTAGGTACCTCTCTTGTCAAAGACGAAAGTGGGACTGAGAGTAGCAGTTGCTCATGTGAGAAAAAATGAGAAAGGACGCGAGGTTAGCCAAACAAAAAGGAAAAGTGGAGGGAATCAGCAGAGCACCATGTTTGAGAGTTTGGCATGGGTATCAGGCTACCTGGGTTCAAGTCCCAGCTCTGCCACTTATTAATATGTCACATTGGACAAGTTTTCAAGCCTCCTTAATCCACATGTTCTTCATCTGTAAAATGAGAATTCTCCTTCAGGGGGTCCCTGAAAGGACTAAATGATCCAATGCAGGTAAAGTGTCTGATATAGTACCTAACTTGCCATGTTAGACCTTAAATCCTCGATAGAGATAACCATCATTAACTTCGGTCATTTGCAAAGATCAAATGTATGGAGTCCAAAAGGTAAGGAAAGGAGCATGTTATTAAATGCTTTTCTTGGTGGCTCATGTTAAGCATGAGGGAGGTAAGAGTGACCATTACAAGTATTTTATGAATGAGGCTACAAAAGCTGTGTGAGGTTAAATGGTTTACTAATGCAAATTGTGGGGCCAGGATCAAACCAACCTTGCCCGGCACTTAGCCTGTGCTCCTTCTATCACATTTTGTTGATAACGAGGGCCAGATTGAGATATGTAGAGAGCCAGCCCACTAAAAAGATACCAACACTTCATTACAAATAAGAACAAGAGAACTGGAGGTATAATTTAGACAGAGTGGTAGCCTAGCATGCAGGAGAATC